TCTGTGCAATCATGCTGGCCACATGATCACAGAGTAGTCTCTGAAAATACTGGCTCTTCAGCTTAGTAATGCAGATGAGCACTGCCCCCCTACGATCAGACATGACTTGACAACCTTGTCAATGGGGAATACCTTTACCTTTACTAGTTTACTGTGGTACCAGAGCTCTCTGACAGGGAAAGCAACATGTCTCACAAAACTACAGCTCCCAGAATTCTCTGGCACTGAGCCATGGCAGTTAAAGTGGTGTCAATCTGGATTATTTCTGCCATGCAGATGCAACCTGGTTCTTGGCTAGTATTTGGATGAGAGACCACCAACAAATCCAAATGCTGCCAGCTATATTTCAGAGGAAGGAACTGGCAAAATCTGAGTATTCCTTGCCCAAGAAAACCCTATGAAATTGCGTTGCTGTATATTGACAGGTGACTTGAAGGCACACACACACACACACACAAAAAAAAAAACCTGGGTCCTCACACATAGTCAGAAAATATGGTGAATGAGGACAAATCTCTGTGAGGGAACTGTGAGATACAGGTAGAATAAATATGAAAACATGCATCTTCAGAGTGGTCAACAGGGTTAGCTTAAGACATTTTGTTTGCTGAGACAAAGAACAAGATGGTCTCCTGTTCCATCTGGACCAGCAGACTTTTATCCATCAGTGGAAATGGGACACCATCTTGTATCTCATGTGGAGGCAGCAGGCCCACTTTAGAGGTTCTGGCCAGCTCAAGTTGATTCCTAGCATCTGTCACCTGCTTCACTTTGCCTCAAGGTAGGGCCAACATATATGAAGTAACAGTTTGGAAAAATCTGAACATTTGGGGAGTAGATTCTTGAACTGTACAATGGTGAGACTTCTGCCTAAAACTCAGAAATGCTTTTCCCTCGATACATGTTATGTTCTTTTTCTTCTGTTTGCTTGTTTACTTTTATTTGTTCAATTCATTTAAAATAATGTGCATCTGAAGGGAGTGAGCAGAAGAACAGGAGGGGAGAGTGAGAGAGAAGCAATGGGCATTATATAGTATTGTTATTGTTGTCATGTGTCTTCAGGTTGACTCTAGTTCTGGTGAACTTCTCCTAGGCTTGGCAAGACTTATTCAAATGAGGTTTGTTATTGCCTTTCTCTAAGGTTGAGGAAGTGTGATTTGGCCATGGTTACTCAGTGGTTTCTGTGGCTGGCCCGGTATTAAACTCCTGGTCTATCGCAGTCCCAGAATTCAAAGATATAACTATTTTAGTCTGGAGGAATATGCAGAGGGATATTGTAGCACCTTTGAGACTGAAAATTTGTAGCATAAGCTTTCATAGACTGAGCCTGATGAAGTAGACTCAGGGGCTCATCAGATGGCCCCTAAGTGGCAACTCCATGCCGCCCCTGGGAGCATTGGATCAGGGCCACAGCAACTGCACGCCATGGCCCCAATCCAGAACTTTGCCACTCTAAAAACAGCTGGCAAATGCCGCTCCTTTTAAGAGCGGCACAAAGCCCCCCTTGTTGCAGCGGTGGTGGCAACTTTTCATCGCTTCTTTGGTGCAACATGTATGAACGCTGTACCAAGGGAGCGCCCTGATGCCACCCGCTGTCTGTTTGGGTGGGCTGCATGAGGACGACGTGGGGGTGGAGTTAGGGCAGCTGGCGTGTGATTGCCATGCCCCCACTCTGTCCCCAGGCCAGCCCTTGTGGCCAGTCTGTACAGCCCCTCAGTCTATGATAGCTTATGCTACAAACATCTTTCTCTCAGGGCCTTTACAGACCCACCCTTTGGGGTGGCACAGAGCCACCCCTGGGAGCGGCAGATTGGGGCCGTAGCAACCACACGCCATGGCCCTGATCCTCCCTTTTGTGCACTCTTTTGGTGTGTCCTGATTCTACACGCTTTGCAGACAGGTGTGTGGCATCAGGACGGCAGTGGGGTGGGGTTGGGGCAGCTGGCGTGCAGCTGTCCCACCCAAACTCCATCCCCAGGTCAGCCCTTTAGGCTGGTCTGCAAAGCCCCTCAGTTAGTCTCAAAGGTGCTACAATATCCCTTTGCTCCCAGAGTCCTAGTCCAACACTACACTATATTGGATCCTTCAATAAAATTTTAATAAAAGAAAAAAATATTAAAAGAGTTAATTGGAACTGGTTGCAGGTATCATACAATTCCCCTGGGCCAACAGTTGCACTGGCTGCCAGTCTATTTCTGGGCATAATTCAAAGTGCTGGTTGTGACCTATAAAGACCTATACATCTTAGGTCTATGTTATCTGAAATACCTCTTCCCCATGACTCTGCTCAGACTCTGAGATCCCTTCTTTCAGTCCCACCACCTTTCCAGGTACAGTTGGTGAGTACATGAGTAGCCGCCCATTGACTCCGTAACTCTGCCAGAGGGAAA